GTCATGACTTAGTAAACAATAATTTAATTTTATCTACACAAATCTGTATCCCAGGTGGAGCTTTTTTTATTGACGTTTGAACTAAAGTAAATGGCAGCAAATTCTCGTCTGAAATAATTTGAGCTAATGGTTACAGTTAAACACACACTGATGTTACATCGTGAATGAGTTCCTTGTTTATCAGGGAAGGTACTTAAAATGTACTTGAGTTTATGCTGCACCAAATTTGGTATTGCAGTAAACATTAGCCCATTACGGACCAATCCAACCTTTGGATGCACTCCTAAGGAATACAGATAAAGCTAGGTATATGTCTTCTACATAGAGTCTTAGAGAAAAGAGCTAGAATTTCTTTTAGGTGTTTTCAGGACAAACTGCAAAGTATGGGCATACACAAAGGTATAGAAATTCATACTCTGGGGCAAAGTCAAATTAACACTAGGTAAATACCATGAACATGTACTTCTTAAGTTCTCTCTCATAAAAGAGTGAATACAGAACTGTTGGCTAATGATATACAGTTGTAAAGGTATTCTACCTATTCTCTGATATTTTGAATGCTATAGGATAACACTGGAATGTTAAACAGAGCTTCCCAGCTCTGGATCATGCAGCTAGGATAGGTTAAGCACCACATATAACTATGGTTACTTAGATGGGCCTTTAATTTATATAACAGGTTGTGCAAATTAACCATATTTCATGTGAATTCTCTTTTCAAATAACTTCTTAAAGCACTGATAAATTTTAGAAAGTCCCTCACAGATATAATTTATGAACCTGTTACATCACTTACTTTGTAAAAGTTTACATTGTAAAAATTATTTAAAATTACTTACCTTGTATAAAATACCTCTACTTACTATTTCCTACTTTTGTTTCCTAAAAAATGCCATGTTGTCCCCTGATTTTCTTTCTCTTTGAAGGCATGCTTCTGGGAATGGTCATGGGGGAATGGTCTTAAACTAAAAGACGATAGATTTAGATTAGAAATTAGGACCCTCACTGTAAGGGTAGTAAGGCACTGAAACAGTTGCCCAGAGAAGCTGTGGATGCCCCATTCCTGGAAGTGTTCAAGGCCAGGCTGGATGGAGCCCTGGGCAACCGATCTAGTGGGTGGCATCCTATGGCTGGGTGATCTAGATGATCTTTAAGGTTCCTTCCAACCCAAGCCATTTTATGATATAATTCTGTCTTGGTGACCAACTTTTGTGTTAAGCAGAACTTGAAATAAAAATGAACAAAAAACTCCTGTCAATTAAAACACACACACACACACAAAAAAACAAAACAAAACAAAAAAAAAACCTGCTCTTGTTCACAAACTCTCATTCAGAGTATCAAAATACAACAAGGTGACTTCTATTCTATTTCAGGTAGATACAGATACACAAAAGATGTGAGAAAGAACAGAAGAATTTTGTTAAACCCTTGTCAATCCTGGGGACATAGGTTCATAGAAAAAAACATATCTTGAGGAATTGTAGCAGAAAGTAAAAAGAATGGTTCAATCATTTCAGACAACTCTTGTCATGAAATATGAAATGGCAAGAAATAAAGACGCTTGGGAAGACTGAGCACCTTCTCTGCTGAGGAAAATCCCATTTTTGACCAGAGGCATTAACCTCCCAATTGGTGAAACTATGGGAAGACTGATGATGCAGTCTTAAATGACTACACAGAAATGACATCTCCTTGACTCTTCAGGGCAAGTTGCTTATATATAAAACCATTTATATGTGTCTAGAGTTTTTTTCTTTAACAAAACTGTGTCTTTACAAAAATGTGTGGGATTTATATGTATTGCAGGCAATACAGTACATTGTTTGCCTTTCACTAGGGTTTATCCTAGGTTGCTAATTTCATGTTGGTTAACCTAGGCCATTATTATATTCATTGTCATTTTCTTCCATGAAATCTAGTTGATTAGAAGAGTTAGAAGTGTCTATACGTCAAGACCTTAGAAATACTATGTGGACTTACCTTGGGTAGTCTCATCAGCATTTTCATAGATCAGCAGTTGTTACAAAGATAATTGAAGCATACAAATATGTTGTACTCAATGATAGAAATGAAAAATTTCTTCTCCTCCTCACCCTATTGAAGAGAATGACAGCTAATATACATTAATGACAGCTACTTGGTGATGTCAAATACCATATCCTTCTACTGTGATGTTAATCATAATTAATGATGTTGCCCTCACGTGGTTCAGGAATTTGGAGCACCATTTTTCTTGAAAATTGCTCATCTGTTGGTGGTTCTGTACTCTTTTTTATCTCATGATAGACACAATACCTCTCTGACAGTGAACCCATAGTGCTGAAAAACATGCCTTAGATTTTTGAGGTAATATACCCCAAAAACATCTCAGCTCCTGTCAGTAACTGTGCTTTGAAATAGCTCAAATGGGATTTCCACTTAGGAAGCTTTCTTTACACATTTTCTGCTGAAATATTTGCTCAGTGAAAGAGAGAGATAAGGGCTGTAGTTCAAACTGCTGCCACAACATCTGCTTAGAACATGAGAGAAAACATTTCTGAATAAAGAAGTGTCATGGTTTTATTGTACTTGATATTTGTAGCTACAGGATAATAAAAAGCTCGGAAAACTTGTTATTTCCAAGGATCAGAAACAAAGATGCAATATGGTTATCAATGTATTGAGAGGCTCTCTCTTAAGGTAAAGAAGCTGTAAGTACTTCTCCCCACCTGACCTCTTTTAGGCATTGTTATCCTTCAGTCCTCTGAGGAATATGCCTACTCCATGACTTGTGACATGGAAAAAGGTACAAGGCCCCTGCAAAAAAGCATGCAGAAGAGACAAGCATGTGTTAGTCACTTCTTTTCCTGCCCTACTTCCTGGTCACCCTTTCACTCCCAGACACTGCACTGCGAGATGTTTATCCCAAAAGGAAACTGAAGCTTGTATGTCACACTGTAGTCATTGGTCCTTGTGGTCTTTGGCTTATCTCAGCTGCAAAATCACAACTTGTGATTTTGCACATGTAGGTAATATGGTATTAGGCCTGTTCCTGCTGCATTTTCATCTCTTAGGGCATTTATGGAATTTGCATGCATTCAGGTTTTTTGAGTGCAATTAATTTTCATTGTTTAAGTTAATGCACAATCAATAGGAAGGAAGGCAAGAGATAAAGAAATGGTAAGAACATTCCATATATGGGGTTCAGCTTTTAGCTGAATAAATAAAAGGAATTATTTAAAAAGAATGGGTATGCATTTATGAAAGACATCAATAGGGCAAAAGAGGTTCTTTCTAGACTTCATTATTCTTGAATCTGGCCTTTGGTAAGTTCACTGATTTAAGGATACGACAGTATAAATAATTTAATCCTTCTTTTTCCATTTCTAAAACCTTCCATTTTGTTTCACTTGCTCACTGCTTGCTTTTAGCAATGATCCCTAGGTTCTGCTAGCTTCTTTTCTACTGTAAGTTTTGTGTTAGCTTGTGTATGTTTACACATCATGAAAACTTTCAGCAGCCTTGTTGTATATTGTGTATTGTGTAATATATATACCACTGATTATTTCTAATGCAAATATGTGAAACCTATACCTTCTACATATAATTGCTTTATTGTGCCCAGATGGAACATGGCTGTTTTTTTCCTGACATATCTTCCAGTGTCAAAACTAGACAGGCAGTTTTACATGCCATGTACTTCTTTGTGATATTTTCATCCTTTACTTCACTCGTCTTTGTACACATCCATGTTACAAATGAAGTATGATGCTTAAACAAAATGGAGACACAAGATTTCTGTATACTTGGGTAAGAAGCTGTGTGAGCAACTTCTTCTTTGCCCCTCAGGCAGATACTTTATTTGTGACTGAATCTCAAGGATCAACTGAGTTGCTGAGAATAAGTTTTGGCCTCACAGGCTTTGCTGCCTTCATGGAAGTTTCTGTGCTGTGGACTGCTGTCCACTAGCAAATAGTTTAAATTCCACATGGATTCTGCTTGATCTTCTGCTAGGTGGTAGTGATTTCTTATTTCTACTGACTTATTTTTCCTAGGAACTTTTTCTTCAGAAAGAAGAGTGTAGATCAGAATCACTTTAGAATAATATTGCTTGAAACAAGTAGCTTTAGAATAAACACATTTTTATGTGTGATTTATTATCTTACAGAAAATAACCTGTCTAAATTTTATTACAAGATGGGAACATCCCAACGCTAAGTAGGCAACTATCTCTTTGGTTGCTCTTGCACATTGTAACTTAATACAACCACTTAGATTGCATACAAAAGTATGTAGCAGCAGATAATTGAGCAATATATAACAATTTAAAGCTGCAAATAATTAATTTGCTGGTGGTCTCTGGGCCTAATTTGTGATTACATCAGGACTTTCAGATGAATTACTGTTTAATTTCATGTGAGTTATTGCATATATCATGAAAAAACAGAGCATGGGTTAAACATAGTACTTTACATGAGCAGAACAGTATACTATTCTATCACATACTTCCAGTGTGACTTCAAGCAACCCAGACAACATCTCCATACCTCGGTTTTGTAGTCTCTAAAACAGGCATAACCACACTGTGATAGGACTGTGAGCTTTGGTTCAGTCCTGTTTATAAAGCACTTTGAGATTCTTGGATGGGAAGTGTTCTATAAGTACAAAGAAGGGCAGAGTTCTAACTGTTCTGTTATAAAACCCTCGGCGTTTTTCTAATTTGCATGTCTTTTTGTTGATCATGCTGTGGGGAAAAAAAAAAAAAAAAAAAAAAAAAGGATACTAACTTACATTTTCAGTGCAATACAGTAACAGTTCTCCAAGTTCACAAAGGACTTCAAGCTCAAATTCTCAGATTAGAATGTAGACATCTAAGGTCATGTATTCAGAAAACATTTTTTTTCCTTGCAGTGAAAGAAGGAAATACCTTCCACATCCATACAACTCATTTTAGCAAATTAAATCTGTTCTGATTTCTGAAGCTATGTTCTAAATTTCACACATTCAATTTCTTCCAGATCACCACAGACCTGAGGCAGCGTTGCACAGACAGCCATACTGGAACCTCAGCCTCTGCACCTATGGCTGCAGGCATCATTGCACTGGCACTGGAAGCAAAGTAAGATCTGAGTTATACTCTGAAAAAAAAAAAAAGTAAAAAACAAACAAACAAACAAACAAAAAACATACAGATTGATCTTTCTCAGCACCTTTATCTAGGGATCTCAAAGTGCTTTAGAAACTCTGTTGTAGTAATTCGCAGTACCTTTCCAACAATAGGAACGATCAGCATGCTCATTTCACATGCCAGAAAGCTAACACCATGCAAGCAATGGCAGACTACAAAGGGTGTTGAAATGGTGTTGAATGCAGGTAGTTTCCACTGAACGACCTTTGGTATCCTCACAATGCCTTACAGTACACTCACTCTGCTGTCCAGGTCCACTGTACTCTGCAGGCCCCTGTAGCTCACCTTCTGCATTCATCAGATTCCTTTAGCAGTGTCCATTCTTAAACAGCAAGGAAAGTATCATTGCTGTGCTAAACTACAAGGTGCATAAATTACTATCATAGGAAAATAAAAATTCTTAACCTCTGCATGCTGAAAAAAAGAAAAAAAAAAAAATCTGTTTGTAATATGTATCTTTATGTGCTTTATGGAAAAGCCAAGAGACTGGAGATTTATCAGGTAGAAATCTCAAAATCTCTATATTTCAAAACCTTTTGTGCTATTGGGACTCCCTTGGATAATATTTCCAGGTCTCAGGTGTAATGTTCCACCACAAATCATGCTTGAAATCAAATGGTTCTAAGTGCCATGAGACTGATTCTATTAAATTCTAAGGAAAAACAGTTTCTTTTGCGGGCAATCAGTTCCTTTCAAAGCAGTAAAAAATACGAGTACAGTGGTCATTTCAAATTACATGTAATTCGTAGCAGCAGGATTATGTTTCCATTTTTAATGTTGCTTTTTGGAAAAAACCATGGGCCAATACTCAGCACGGAATACTTTTGCACTGTTGAGTTATAGTCATGAAAATAAGAGTTTGTAATTGAAAACCTGATATAATCTTTAGTGTAGCACTTGTATCATTATGATTAGATTTTCTTAATTCAATTGTTAGAAACAAAGCTATTTTGAAAAGTCAACATTATGTTATTAATTCAGAAAAACAAAACAAACAAACAAAAAACCAACAATATTATTTTCAATCTCTTCCTATTCTGTTTTAAAATCCTTATTATTTTTTCTAAACAATCTGCACGTGCATTTAAAATTGCATGCACGAAAAATCCATTCTGCTGAAAGTTTTTATAATTACTTCTTAACAAATGAACATTCCTTGTAATTCTCAATTTGTATTTTACATGATATTTTGTGTGCATTTTCTAACAAATCATCGTTGTAATTGAAAGTCTCAAGGAATTATAGTATGTAATACCTAAAATTGAGCTATTTTTTGTTATGGAACACACACTGAGAAGCTTGCACTTTGCACTACTTTTTTCTATAGAATGCGTACTTTGGTGATGATATCAAAGAGAAATCCATGTTACCCTCTATGGACCATAGTCTTTCTTTTTCCCGAGTTAGTAATTGCTATGAGAACAGGTACATTACGAACAAAGGCAAGAATGTATAGTGGTTTCATGTGTGGTGATGAAGACAAAATGTGCCAGTGAATGAAAATCCTAGTCACTTTTTGTATTTGGTGCATGGTGCTAATGAGAATCAGGGTGAAAATGTGTTTTGCCTTCTTTCAGATTCCTATTTCCAAATCTTAGCCTGTGTATTTGACTAAATGCAAGGGATATATATTAATAATATAATAAAATGTATAAATCTAGTTTCTACATTTGTGGAAAATTCACTAACTTTCTCTCACATGAGTACTTAACAACTAACTTTTTTAAATGCAATCACCAGTAAGAAGTGAAAAAAAAAAAGGGGGGGCGGGGACAGGGAGAAGTAGAGGGCAGGGGCAGGGGTGCTGTTTATTTCCAGTTTTCATTATATTTTCTCCCATAAAATAAACTGAATTCATGTCTAGGAGTGGGGGAACATTTAGTTTTGTGAAGCTATAGATTGTGAAATAATGCCTTTATTACCGCAAGAAGATCATGTCATAATATATTCAGTTTTAATGTCTGGGATTTGTTTCTATGAAATCTACACAGAGAATTTTAAGCAGTTTCTGAATGCTGATTTTTATTTATTTCTCTGATCTTAAGATTAGGGTTGTATTTCTCTCCTCTGATATCTGCAGATTTAGGTGATTCTAAGTAAATGCTAGGAACTGGTGGAAAAAAAAATAAAGGAAAATATGGAAAAAGAATTTCCAAATCCATTTTAAGCATTTTCTCCAATATTTTTTAAATATGTACCAAGGAAAGGGCACATGATACTGTAGCTTAGCATAAGGGCTTACTGGGACTCGTCTGCATATAGATAACTTTCATTTACATAGCTTCTTCCTCAAATTCCATATTAGAGCCTGTGTTAAAAGCACAAGTGTTTCTATGAGATTTTTTAAAAAAGATTAGTTGAAAAGGGGTTTTGCAAGGTTAATTATGCTCTTCATACAGCAAGCTGTTCAAAAATTGGAGCACTTAGTTCTGAACACTTCTTGAATATGTCTGTAATAATGTATAGTTTTATTCCATTTTGTGCTGGAAAACACCACAAACTATATTTTTAAGCCTACGAGGTCGTTTTTTTCCCAGAAGCCAAGTTTTATTCCTGAGAGACGTCAGGAGTCAACTAGAGCACTAGTCTGGCCTCGATATGAGCAAGATCAGCCAAGAAGTTGCTTCAGCTCACACGCAAAAGTATATTAAACCAATGGAAAATGAGCAAGGCAGATTTCTGCTCCAACCTGCCACTTGCTTTCTTTGATAAGCCCCATATGGAAGTATTGGCAAATAGCTGATGGAGGACTTCTTACCTGCTTACTGATCTGAACAATCCACGTGGTTGGCTTTTCCAACTGAAATCCGCTCCTGAGATCCTGGCAACAAACGGTTTTGGGAGGGTGGCCTGCTTATTTATGAATTGCATTGTTGGTCCAGTATTCGAGTATCAAGTGGCACGTTTTCATGCAGGAACCAGAAAAGTACAACTGAATTTGAGAGTGTTTGCTTGGAATCCTCAAGGTCATAATGCAGAAACTCGGGTATGCAGTAACTGTCACACAAAGAAAGTTCTCTCTTAATCCTTATATTCTATGATTTTCTTATGTTTCTCTACAGTTTTCTTATGGCATTTCTTTTATCTTATCAATTTCCAGTGTTTCTAGTATCCTGTTCAGGCTCAATGAATAAGTGCTTACTTTTATATTGCAATTCCTAGTCAGTATGTAAAGCTGATTTTTTCTAGTAGTAAATGAGCAATTAGGGGTGTAAAGCATAACAGATTTAGTCAACAGTGGTAGCAATCTTATTACTAAAGATTACCTGGACAGGCTGGAGAATTGGGCCCCTGTGAACTGCGTGTGTTTCAACAAAGCCAAGTGCAAAGTGCTGCACCTGTGTTGGGGCAGTCCCAGACATAAGCACAGACCAAGAGAAGAACTCATTGAGAGCAGACCTTCAGAGAAGGACTTGAGGGTTCTAGTGGACAAAAAGCTCAACGTGAGCCAGAAGTCAAGCATCCTGGTCTGCATCCTGAGCTGCTTCAACAGAGGCGTGATTAGCAGGTTGATGGAGATGATTGTCACCCTCTACTCTGCCCTCATGAGGTCCCAGCTGGAGTGCTGTGTCCAGGTTTGGGGCCCCCAACACAAGAAAGATGTGGACCTGTTAGAGTGGGTCCAGAGGAGGGCTACAAAGATGATCAGAGAGCTGGAGCACCTCTCCTATGAATAAAGACTGAGAGAGCTGGACATGTTCAGCCTTGGGAAGACAAGGCTCTGGGGACTGAGGTCTTTCAATACTTACAGGGGTCTTATAAAAAGGATGGAGAGACACTTTACTTGGGTAGATAATGACAGGACAAGGGGGAATGGTCTTAAACTAAAAGAGGGGAGATTTAAATTAAATGTTAGGAAGAAATTCTTCACTCAGAGGGTGGTGAGGCACTGGAACAGGTTGCCAAAAGAAACTGTGGATGCCCCATCCCCGGAGTGTTGGATGGGGCCAGGCTGGATGGGGCCCTGGGCAACCTGATCTTGTGGGTGTCATCCATGTCCATGGCAGAGGGGTTGGAACTAGATGATCTTTAAGGTCCCTTCCAACTAAAGCCATTCTTTGATTTTATGATTCTATGATCCTATGATATAAACTATTTGTGTTGCATAGTACCATCTACTGTTGATATCAGAATTACTCTCTCTCACTGAAGAAAGGTCTGAATTTGAGATTTAATATGACACATTGATTCCAGTGGGGATTGTGCCATGGTCCTGTGGAAAAGCCAAATAATAATAATAAAAAAATATATGTAGTTTCAGCACTGCTAAAAAACAAACCATTATACATGTCCAAGTAAACTGAATGTACCACTGCCTAAAAGCCAATACATGTTTTCTGGTACATGATAAATAAACTGCAGTTATGTGAGTAAGAAATTGCACCTGAAATGCAAGTATTAATCTGCTACATTTTCTCAGTGGCATAGATCTGGAGAGATTCTGTGCCTTCTCCCATTGTTCTCTTCATATAACCTATATATTTCATTTGTCTTTAGTTATATGAAGCTAAGGCTAGAACAAGGCAGGGTTGGTAAAAGATAAAGATTTTCAGTGAATTGATACCACTGATTAATTCAGGGAAGTGACACTGCACTTCATTCTTCTGAAAGTAAGGTAAAACTGAGTGTAATCACTAAGATGAAAAGAAAATGGAGTTCACATTGCAGCATTCAGGAGTGCCAGAGAAAGAGACTTTGGATTTCTGACAACTGATCAGATACTTGCAGTACTTCCCATATTCATTAATTTTCTTTCAGACCACATCAGCAAAGGAGAAAAGCAATATAACGTCTCGAGAAGGCAGTTCTGGGTAGATCAAACATGTTTCTGTGTCATCAAAGCTATGAGGACTTTGTTCATAACTATAGTCAGAGGCTAAAGGTGATTCTGACAGTTGAGGCGAACTGTAGAAGTACTGTCAAGTGACCTG